GGTTCAGACCTAGTGAGGCGGCGAGCAAGATGACCTACAATCTTGTGGTCCTGGATGGGAGGAAGGATTATCTTGCCGATAGGCGGGAAATCAATCCAGAGTTGAGGGAAACTGGGGTTATCCCTGATGAGGCCGCTACGTGCCAGATTGTGGTTCCCTCGAAAACAAGGTTGGGCGACTACCTCCCGAACTACGAGGAGACCGCGGGCACCGTTGCAGGGCGGGAGGCGGCTAAGGAGCTGATGAGACTGCTCTCGTGCGATTTCGAGGGTCTGGTCATCAACTCGAAGAGAGTCTCGGAGTTATTCGAGGAGCGTGTGCTGAAGGAGACCGGGCGTGAGGCTGGAAACTGGGTGAAAAGTGACCAGGCCATCTGGTTCCTGAAGGAGATCTCGGGTATGGAGAACGCCGAGATGTCGTGGAAGTTCTTCATTCCGACGCTCAAAGCTTTCCCGATAGGGCAAGTCGAGGCGATGCTCATGGTCATGTACGACGGGAATGGTGTCCTCCTCAAGGAGAGCACTAGGTTGGTGGCCATTAGGCACACGCGGATCGGGCGCGACATGAGTTACAGTGCCGTTAGGCAGAGGTACACTCAGGAAGATGCACCTGGCGGATCTCTGATGTACGAGATGCATTGGAATGAACTCCCCATGGTGGGGTACGTCGTCATGAAGTTCTCGGACTTTAGGAAGGCGGTTCAGCTCCAAAGGGTGAGGCGAAACGGAAAGGCCATGATCGAGATATTGATCACGAGGCCCGATGTGTACGAGACCATTGGAGATGGTAGGCAGGATGAGGGCCTGATCCCACTTGTGGGAGCCATGGCGCCGGATGCCGAGGTATCGCCTTCGTGGTACGTCAGAGACAGGCTGCGGAACTACTCGGGTAGGTACGTGGTGGTAATGGTGGACCTTCGGGTGCACTGGTCCTTGGTTGGGCCCGTGTTTTTGACGAGGAGGAAGACCCTAGCCGTTCGGAACGAGATCCACATGGGAGCTTGGAAGGCGGCATACATGTACGATGATTACACGATAGTGTACCATCGGGCATGGGACTATGGTGACTTCACCCCCGTTAGGGGGGAGCACAGGCGATCGCGGGAAGAGGTCAGGTTGAATGTGACCACCACGTTCTGTTTGAGGTGCGCGGAGATGACGCCAAATGGGATGCATTTGTGCCCTGGGTGTGCGCTCCCGGTCTTTTACCCGAACTTTATCCCCAACGCGGAGGAAAATGGATTCGAGAGGTGCCTCATCGTCCCGGAGTGGGTGAGGACCATGGGGCAATTCAAGCCCAGGAGGATTCCCTCCGAAGTGGTCGGAGTCATCAAAAGGAACTTGATTTCCTATTCGATGGCGTCTGATCTGAGGATGACGGTGCAGAGTGGCATCAGACTGCCCCCTTATCTTGGTGAAGACAAGGGAGGAGTTGACACGGCGTGGGATGAGCTGGCGAAGGTGCTCTTCCAATTCTCCTATGTGTCGGGGATTTCGGCCTCGGATGCGTTCGTGGAGAAGTGGGTGGCGAAGCACCTGATTTTGACCAACCAAGTCGATAGATTTGAGTCGGTCACGGTGTACTTCCGGGCTAACCCGAGGCACGCTGCTCAGTGGGGTAGGCGTATGACGACTTCCGTTAGGAAGTTTGCTCGCCATGACACGTACTTGTCCTTCTATATTCCGATGGCATACGTGATTGGCTCCGCGGCTGGTCATCTGACCCCATTGTATCCGACCCATCGGAAGGACGTGGACATCCTGGAAAGTCATGCATTGATTTCGCAGCTCAGGCAGTACATGGTGTCGGGGACAGGGTATGATGAGAAGAAGAGGTTGAAGGAGGCGATAGCCAAGGTGCAGAAGGCGATCAGTGCCGGACAATCGGAGCCTCCCGCACCCTTCCGGGACCCATTCGTCTACGTCAGTGACGAAAGGGTGAGGACGGTTCTTGATGGTCGTCAGCCCGAACCATTAGACGTGGACATCGAGGGACTTCAATCGGTGCATCATGCTGCGCCGGGTCCTGGTCCCAAGCAGGAGCCGGTCACCAAGGGCGGAAAAGGAAAAGGGAAGAAGGGAGAAAAGGGCGGTAGTCCTTCCGGCCCACCACCGAAGTCGGGTGAAGTGCCAGGCAAAGGATCTGGGAAGGGCGGTAGCCCATCTGCTCCAAAGGCAAAAGCATGCTGGACCAGCTCCGATGGAGGTTGATGCAGCTGCGGCTCAGCCGAAGAAGACTTGGGTCGCGATAGCGGTTGAAGGGGCCCGGCCGAGTGCGAAGGCTAAAATGACCTCGGTTCCAAAGGCCGAGCCAAAGGGGAAGGCCGCTTCAGCGTCTGAGGCGAAGAGTGCTCCGGCTCCAAAGGCTGAGGCTAAGAAAACGAAGCAGGCCGAACCGAGAGTTGAGGTCAAGAAGGAGAAGGTAGGCGGAGACGACGCTCCTGGCGGTAGTCGGGGGTCGGCTGAAGGGCAGAAGAGAGAAAGGAAGTCCCGTTGGGATCCTGACGAGACTGTGAAGGAGTCAACGAAGCGAGAGGCATCGACGAGGCCTGATGACGTTGACAGCAGACCAGGTGCGGCAGCAAGAGAGGCTAGTGGAGATGATCTTCACTCCGCGCTTGGCAGATCTTCGGCAAAGGATGCGGTAGCGCCTTTGACGGCCTCCAAGGCGATGGCAAAGAAGCCTGAAGGCGGGGAGATCCGGTTGCAGTCTGCTGAGCGGGCTGCGGCGAGCCCGGTGGAGGGTCACTTCCTGGTGCTGCCTGAGGGTTCGGTGGTGGACGCTTTCTTGTCGATCTCCACCAACAGAGTGCTGAACAAGCAAGTCAGGGATTTCATCAGAAATGGTGAGGACGCGTCAGCACTGGAGGCTCTCAACCAGATCGTGACGAACTCTCGCTCTGGGAGGAGGCGTAGGGAATCGGATGTTTCCCGTACTCCTTCTCGGAGGTCCGTTAGGACCGTGGACACCAGGGATTCCAGAGAGTCGAGAAGGCGCAGATACCGTCCGCGGCGCGAGGATGATCGAGACCGGAGGAGGGACGATGCTCGTGATCGTCGTGATGATGATTCACTCGATCGGGAGCGAGATCGAAGGCGAGATGATCGCAGGAGATCCGAAAGGGATCGTGATAGGGACCGTGCGCGGGGCGGACGTGACCGGAGGAGACGTGACGATAGCCGGTAGGCTGAGTCACGAGGATTGCGGCCGATAGGCTTGCGTCCATTCTCCAATGGTCGGCGCGGTGCGGAGGTGGTGATGTTCCTCCCGGACCGCTGAGGCGCGGAGGTCATGTCTCTCCCATACCGCTGCTGGGCTGCTGGACGTGTTCATCAGGAAGCAGTGTGAGTGAGAGGGAAAGCAAACTGATGGGGGGTTACTCCCGGGTTTGCGGAACTCAAGCATTTTTCAGGTACGCATGGTCAGGAGTACCTCTTGCCGTTAGGCGAGGGTACTAATGGACATACGTTATCTTCTATTTCATGGCTTCTGATAAGAATTAAACTTCTTGCATTGTTGATGCAAACAGTTGTGACCTAGTGTCGTCATGTGGACCTTTCCACAAGGTATGTTGGACAACGTTACCCCGATTAATTCGGGGTGGTGGCGGGAATTTAATGCCCGGGATGTCGCGCAACTGCCTTTGTGGGTTTGCTCCACCGCTGACGGCGGTAGTGTCCAGCTGTTTGCGGACACATGCGAGCAGTTAAATCCTATCAGTAAATGGCACGCTCCACCCGTCATATGACGGGCTCCTCGTGAGGGGGGTGTGATTAGCCATGGTTAATATCATCATCAGGGACGTCGCGTTAGTGACCGACCTGTGGTGTTTTGGCTCAAGTTTTGGGTTCCGTCGCGCCTCGAATGGGCGTCGCCGAACCCCTGCGTCGACCGACGGCATCTCGGGGGAGAAAGAGACCTCGGGCCGCCGCCAGGTTGGTAGGGACCAGTCGTGCGGCCTGTTGTCGACCAAGGTTGCGGGTTAACCCTTTTCTTGTTTGGTTTGTTTCCTTTTGGTTGTTGTTCTCTGGTGTGTGGGAAACCCTGATCTTTGGGACCGGGGATTGGTTTGCTTTTGGGGAACCTTTCTTTTGTGGCTTGTTTACCCCAACTTACCCATTGCCTGGGCACAGGCTCGTGCCCGAATCACAGTTTGACATAATTTGTATTTTTCAAGAGCTCCCTGTTCAACACCTAGGCTTTTACTCACCCGTTGAGCTGGCACAGCGACGTAGCATATTGTTTCTCGAGAGGGTTTGCATGCATTGTGGCTTGGCTCATTTAGTTGAGTTGGCATCCTGGGCACCGTGCCCCCGAAAGCTTTTTATGTGAGTCTTAGAATGAGTGAGGGGGGCCGCAAGTAAGGTGTGACCTGGGAACGTCAAACTTTAGCTGGGCGGATCCAACTTCGCCAGCTTGTTTCGGCCGCCCGCCATTCGCCACAACAGGTTGCAAGTGAATCGGAGCTGGTACATGACAGGGAGTTCCTATGAGTCCCGAGGAATCCTGAAGCTGCTCCGTGGTTCCTTCTGGCATTTCCGGGTATGGTTTTGGAGGTGCGGATGTTTTTTCTGCAGCTGATATGTCATCTGATATGTAAGTGGAAAAAGCAAATAAGCGCCCTCCTACCCCATACCTGGAAATGCCCTATGAGTCTAGAAGTCCATGGACGTTTGAATTTGATCAGCTTTAGGTTACGGGGCCGGAAAGAACTTGAGTGTTGGGAAAGCAGAAAGCAGACACACTTTCCAAGAGGGAAATGCAACCATGGCCTGGTGAGGTTAGGTAATCTAGTTTTCTTTTTTGCAGCAACGCCAAGGATTGAACTGCGGCATCTCCTGTCCTTTTCCCAAGGCAAGAACCCCTGAGCTCATGTCTGGCTTGGCTCTTTTGGAAAAAGCTTGAACCGCTAACTAAACACATTTCGATTTGTGCGGGGCCAAGGCCAGGGTGAGGCTGTCTAATTTGGGTCCAGCCATTCGTTGTCCTGCTTGGCTCAGGGTGCGCCTGGAGGAGGGTGCCGGGCTGTATGAAGTTCAGCTGGGCGAGGGCATGAAGGCGAGTGCGGAGCGATTTGCGTTTCTAGTCCAAACTGGCGACGGGTAAACGGCTTGGTTTCATTTGCAGTAGAACGGTTTGGGTTGGGGTTGGCTCCCAGTCTGATGACAGAGATCCCCGCCCTAAAGACATGTCTCAGAGGACCTTCGAAAGACATGTCTCAGAGGACTTTCTGTTGAGGATCCAAAGCCTTGCAAGGCCCATGGCTCTCCTCATGCCAAACAACGGGATGTCTTGGGGGCAGTCTGTTCACCAAAGGGCCACAGCAAAACCCAGACTCAAGCAGGCAGAAGGATGGAGCTTGAGCATAGGACACGGCTTTTCCCAAAAGGAATAGGTGTAGTGTCGCATCCCTTTTTCTTTGGGGGAACTTGGCTGAGAATCCGGTTGCTTTTCCCGGTGTTGCAATTTGTTTAAGGGCTGTTGGCCTGACACCTTGCAGGTCTCGCTGAATATGCGGGAGGTGGAGCAGGCTGGCATAGATCAGGAGGGGGAATGTCGGCTTAGTCCTGTGAGGCCAGGGAACTGTTTCCATTGCTGTCATCTTTTCTTGTTTTTGGGCTGGCAGGGTGCGCTTGGCCCCAGCCTTTACAATGAGGCGGCACCCTGTTTGGTGGGCATTGCAAGGCCCCTCGCATTGCAGTTTCACAGCCAGAGCGAAGCTTGACAAGATACCCCATATGACATGGAGGCGTTTCGAACTTTCCGAGAGACGATGGAAGGTTCCTCAAAAAGCTTAAGTCAACAGATAAGCAGCTGCCCAATCTTTGGCCAGATTCCTGCTGAGGCGAAGGGAGGGCAAGTTGCTTGGGGTCACGTAGCGACGGGATGGCCTCTCGGTTTCTCCATTGGATGGTTGCCCTTATAGTTTTGGCTTTCTTCCATGAAGGCACCAAGGGCGTGCATGAAAGTTCCGAGGATTCTTCCTCAGTCTTCGAATCAGGATTGAATCTCTCGAACGCTGCAGGACCTACCGGGCGCAAAGGAGGAGAAGGATGATGTGTCGGCCTGGGCCCCCAACACGGGCGCACACACAGGCACGTACGCATATGTGTTTTTGTTTAGATCTTGATATGGATGTATGCGGTGCACATTGGCTTGTACCTATACTGGCCCAACTTCGATTCTCAGACCCCATCAACACATAGGGAAACCCATGTATGTTCAAGCAACAGTTGTGTGTTCCCAGCCATAAGGCCGGTTTGTGCGGCTTGAGCCAGAGACGAAATTGTCGAGAGGCGTGCGTTGACCATGGCATCCAAGACACCTTCGCTCAGACCCCAACGAGCCTCCAGTTCGCGGCGCTTGGATCACTTGGGAATCCAGCAGCTTTTGCTACCTTCAGGTCCTTGATCTTCAGATTGAGAGGAGCCTCTCAATCTGAAAGGGGCTTGATGGACGAATGAAGGTGAAGGAGATGCTGCGGGAAGTTCGCACTTATCTATTTCTCAGGCTGTTTGGCTGGGGCTGCTTGGGGTGGGCTCAGTGCATTTGACCTTGGTTCGTCCTAGCCTTTTTGCACTGCTTCCCCAGATGTGTTTTCTTCCAACTGGGGACTTGTTGTTTTGTTCCAGCTTTGATTGAAGCAACCCCAAAAAAGGCACTCTTAACAAGACGCACCCAAACAAGACAGTAACGGCTACAATTTGGGGGGTCTCAAACTTATTCTGAGGATGTCATGTTTTTGGTTTGGGGGGCGTCTCTCTCTGTCTCTCTCCATGGAGGGAGTCCCCGAACAAATCCGAGGGGCTGACTCCTCCAGTCCTTTCTCGCAGGCCAGCCATCGGCATCGAGTGGCGCAAGCCTCGGAGCCGCGATAAAAGGGTGAACTGGGCTCCTAATTGGTCTTCCTTGGGCTCAAACGCCACTGTTTGGCCCCCCAAGTGTGTTTTGTTGTCCTGGAGGTACAGCGAACTTGCCTCTAAGCAAGTGTTTGTCGTCTATTTTTGCCGTTCGGGCGAGCATCACCTTCTCAGCCAATGTAAGGCGAGTCTCCTTGCGGATGGGGAGCCCGTTTTTGGTATCACAGAAATCTAGGTCAGTTCCCAATCCTTGCGCTGGATGGTAGTGGTTTCCAGTGTTCCACGTTGGATCCCTACAGAATGAACACGGGCGCTATGTCATCCCACACCTTTTAGGAGCCCTTTTTTTAAAGATGATTTTCCTTTGAGGGGATGTTTGCGGGCGTGCAATATAGGATCGAATGCAACGAGATCGGGCCCGTCCTTTTTGTAGGGATCCCGAATTCAGGCTTAAATCTCATGCGCCTTGTTTGGTGCAGGTAAAGCTGGCCATTCTGGGACGTATGCGCAAAGGATTTGCCAGTTTTCCACAAGCACATGTGTCAGATTCCAAGCAGCCAGATCCAAACAGAAACATAGCTAATTCAGAAGGTAGAGAGAGAGGGGCTCCAAATTGCATCTACAAACAGGAGACCAGCGCAAATGGGCGCTCTGACTAAAAGGTTGTGGGAAGGGGGTCTCCGACTTTGGTACCAGAAAGTTTTCGCCTAGTGACCTGCTTTTCACTGGTCCCCACGGGTTGGAGGCGGTATCTGCCCGGAAGTACTTGGACGAGCACAAGCTGCTGGGATGGGCCCACAGGTGGGCCAGCGTCTGACACACGCTTTTTCCTACGAGCGTTGAACGGTCTCACCACTCGCGATATGTCCCTTGCTTTTTGTGACTCAACCGCCTCTGCCTCAGTTTGCCAGGATTCCTGCTGGGGTTGTTTGGTTCTCCGAACCCGGGAAAGGTGAAGCCCCCTGGCAAGTTACTGATCGACTCACCAGCCTCCCTTGGACTTTGGACCCAACATGCCACGCCCTGTTGACAAACCAACGCACCTTTTGATGCACATGGGGAGAAACGTTTGGCGACGGTTCGGCCAGGCTCTTCCAGGATTTGATCCATGACCAACCCGCAGACCCCTGGGCTTACATTGACAAGCGCCGGGCTCTCGGCGGAAGGAGGGTTGAAGGTGGTGGTAAGGTTGCCCAAATTGCCTTGGGTGGATTTTTAACCTCACTTGTACTCTCATTCCCCTTGTGGGGGAAAACGGAATTGGGACCCCCACCGCATCCACCAGGCTTAGCCTTTCAGCAAAGTTGCCCAAACAGAAGTGAGCACTTGCCAGTTCTGTTTCAGGCATCCTTCTCTGGCAAACCTGGGACAAAAAGCAGGCTTCTCAGAAAACGATGGGTGACGAGAATTTGTGAATCCCCCTCCCCCGAGCTGCACATGCATCCAACCACGCGGGTGAAGGGCATAGGGGGAACCGCGTTTCGAGAAACAGTTCACTTCGAAAGGGAGTCCTGTTAGCCATATTTTTTTCACACACACACACTAGTGGCTATGAATTTGGTGGAAAACCTCACGCAAATCCTTGGTCGACATGAAGGGTTAGTAAGGGACGACCGTAGCCAGAAATTGGTGTGCATCTCCCCCTTTTTGACTGATTCTTTGCACGGTTTTGGGTCTTTAGTAACTACTACCAGGTTTTGTGACCCAAGCGATGTCCACCAAATGCTGCTCAATTCAACAAAAGTGGGAAGGGCCGGGCCGCTAGGCACTATGGAGGCTCGCCAGGAGGACTGCAAGAAGCCCGAGGCAGGGTTGTGAGTCGGGCGCTTGTTTTAAGCAACCGGCCTGGTACCCCTTGCAGGAAAGCCAGAAGGACACACTCTTTTTTTTTTGGGGGGGGGGTACCCTCACAAATACACAAACCCAGTTGTCTCAACATGTCTAAACTCTAAACAGTTGGTTGGCTTCACCCTGGCCCCCCTTCTGTGAGAAGCGGGAGCCCCCCCCCCTTTCGATGGAGCATTGGGAAGGCCTTCCATTGCAAGCACTGCGGGCCAGTTTTTTGCAATCTGTTTGCGAGCGGTCCGCACAACTTGAGGCGAGCATGTGTTTGGTGGGCTCCCCGCAAGAGTGGCTGACCTGTTCCAACTCGTTTTCCACCGCTACTGGTGGATGAGCTGTCCAAATCGAAACCGGGGTGGCTGACTGGTCTTTTGCCGAGGTGAAGATGATGAGCGAAGCAGAGCTGGAGGCCAGGTGGGCAAGAGGAAGTCAATCGATCGAAGGTTCCCTTTTTGGGTTGTAAACCAACAGACAGTTTTTTTACACATCGTTTGGACACGTGCATTTTCTCACCAAAGTCAAACTTTCTGGGCAAGGGACAAGAAACATTAAAGTTGGCAATCGTCCTCAGGTTGGTATTCAACAAACAGGTCCCGAAGCCAGGAAGCCATAACGAATCTGAGGCTATGAAATGAAAAGAAGGCTGCAAGAGCACACGACCTAAAGCGAAAGCCCAGGAAAAACCCAGGGCCGCAAGCTTTCTGCAAATCTTTCCTCCCGGCAACCCCCCCCACCCCCCCCCCCCTCCCTTTCATACTTTCAACTTTCAACCGAAGTCGCTTTCCGTCATCCAGACTGCCAGTTGCCCACATATCCCAAGGCGGCCTTCCAACCACCGCGTTCTCCGAGCCAACATGCGTGAAATTGGCCAACCTTTACAAGCGTGGAAAGGAGTGGAGTGGAGTGGAGTGGAGTGGAGTGGAGTGGGGTGGAGTGGGGTGGGGTGGAGTGGGGTGGAGTGGGGTGGAGTGGGGTGGAGTGAGGTGGAGTGGAGCGGGATGGACCGGGTACTCTTGCTTTGGTTGAAGCCAGAGGTCAACTGGCAAGAGCGATTGCTGACTGCCGTTGGGGCAGATTTGCACGCAGAGAATCCGCTGAAGAGAGAAAGAGAGAGAGAGAGAGAGCGAGAGAGAGAGAGTGAGAGTGGAGAGAGGGAGAGAGAGATAGAGAGCGAGAGAGAGAGAGAGAGAGAGAGAAGGAGGGAAGTCAGGTGGCTGCATTCTTGTTGTTTTTGTCTTGAGCAGCTGTTTGAATTGGTGCTCGAGCTCTCGAATTCTTTGCTGTTGGAGACGGTGCGGATGTTTGTGGTGTGGGCCTTTGCTCTGACGTGCGTTTGTTGGGGCGTGAAGGAGGAGACAGGGGAAGAGGATTCCCTCACAGCAGCGCTCGAAGATGTGTATGTGGATCCCATGTCAGACGAAGACTTCGACCTTCAGATGAGCCTCTTTGCTGCACAGGGCCATCTTGAAGCGCGTGATGCGGTCAGACCAACCTGCGATGCCGCGGTATTGCAGCCGGTCCAAAATGTTGCAGAGTCGTCTGCGCTTCCACCAGCAAAAGCCAACAATTGCGGGATTACGGGCTCACTGGATCGACCTACTGCCTCTACGCTACCATCACATGGACGTGCAAATGAAAGCGGCCGAGTACTTGACAGAGCAATTAGATGCCTTGGGCCGTGGCGTGCGCCACGCATTTTTTCTGACAGGTGGGCGCGCGATGACTGCTCATGCCTGTCTGCAGTAGTTGTGTGCTTTGCCACACCCGTAGCCTGGCTAAGGGAATGCAGTGGAGCATGGGTGGAAGGGAGCAAGTGGAGTGGAGTGGAGTGGAGTGGAGTGGAGTGGAGTGGAGTGGAGTGGAGTGGAGTGGAGTGGAGTGGAGTGGAGTGGAGTGGAGTGGAGTGGAGTGGAGTGGAGTGGAGTGGAGTGGAGTGGAGTGGAGTGGAGTGGAGTGGAGTGGAATGGAGGGGCGTGGCTTGGCGTGGAGTGGTGTGTTGACCTTCGATGGTTTCTTTCCAAACATATCTGTGATTGGAACAAGTTAAAAGCAGAAGCACATCTGTATGAATATCCGAGTTTGTCGGCACAGAAAGACGCTCGAGGTTGCCGGAGGGGGGGGGGGCTACATCGGTTTTAGTTAGAGTGGGCTTAGCGTGGCATAATGGCAGGCTTCTCAAGCTCTCAAACAAGTATTTTCCATGCTGACAGCTCGAGAAGCCTTGCTGTGAAGGTGTTTTGTCCGGTAGTAAACGGCGCAGATCGTTGCTGCTCTTCGCCCTGGCCCAAATACCCCGCACGTTTGTCAGGCGCTGAAGGCCGGGATTTTCGGGGCCGCGGGCTGGGGCCGGAGCTCGGCGACCTGCGCGCGGTGTTTGCTCAAATTTGCCTTGAGGCAGCCTTCTGGAGCTACCAGTTCTGTAAGGACAGGATCTTTGGTAACCCAACAGTTCTGCGAAACCATTCTAATTCTAAGACTGAACCTTCAAGGGTTGTGGGCGTAGCGATCTCAGATTTCTGGTTTGTGAATTATGCCCAGACGCGAGCCAGAAATTCGAGGGCGGGCGATCTCTGGAACCTTTTCACGTGTTGACTGGTTCTGACCCGGGGTCCAGGCACCAGTTGGATTCTTTTTTATCTCCCCAAATGCGCTGCGCTGGGTTCATGAATGCTGGTTTCTCCCTTTGCTCAACCGACGGTTGCTTGATGATCTGGCTTCGGCCGAGAACCCCCTAAACACCCTCATTCCTGCGATGAGGAAACTTCTGAGAAACGGGGGGGTTTTTTGGGGACGCAATTATGCGTCCGAATGAAAGGGGCCGAGAGAGCGGCGTGCGAGGCTCCAGGTGCCGAGAAGGCGTGGAATGGGAGCTGGGTTCCATTGTTTGACACCCTAAGGCAGGCTTTAACCCCGGGTGGTTCCTTGCGAAAGGGAGAAACGGCAAACAAGAGTGGCTACTAAGACATGTCAGACACGTGTTGTGAATCAAAACCAAAGGTCCATGGCAGCACAAAGGGGGAGTACGAACTATACAGGTGAACAGAATGTTCACCCGTAGGTAAAACGAGCTCACCATGATGAATGTCCTAAAAGCTGTGTTTTTTCTATAGGAGGTGGGGAGCGCTTGGCATAGGAAGGGTTGGGCCATGCTGCGTCTGCATCTCGCGCTTAGCCAACCAAGGTAGATTTAGCCAACCAAGGTAGATTTAGCCAACCAAGGTAGATTGCCCTGTGCTGGCAACATGTAAGCAAAGGCAACCTTGCGCAGGTGATTTGCGACCTCATCCGTGAGTAACATCCTTCATTTAATGTATGTTGTGTTGGTGAGTGATTGGAATCTGCCCAGATGAGTGTCAGTTCTTGACGAACACTTACTGTGCTGGGGGCATCTCCGAGGGGAGAGCCATCAAAATCTGAATCGCATGAGCTTCGACTGACTGTGCGGTCTTACCTTTTGGTTTCCTGAATCCGGACAATATTTTGGCAAGGCAACCCAAAAGGCGATCACCGATCACATTGTGTCTTCCAGACATCAGGTTACTCACAAGAGTTGTTTGCCCAGAGAAATACGGTCAACAACCAGAGCGCGCCAGCCAGGTTCCATGTTTGTCCAAAGCCGCCAACCAGCTGCACGCGCAAGGGTTTCACTGGGTCTATTAAACCAGCATCATGTTTAACCACCGAACCCAAGAAGAAATTCGGAGAACCCCGCCAAGCTCCACCCCGAAAAGTTTGCTTGAGCGCTCCTCAAGCCATTTCCTGCTTGCAGGAGATGGACAGCATCCGCATGAAGGCCCAGAAGGCGCTGATGCGCGCTGCCGAGGCTTGGGGTGTGGGGCAGGGACTGGAATGAGGCAAAGGTGGGCGAATCTTGAGTGAGAAAAGGCCCCAAAAGGCGGCCACAGGGAAGCCAAAGGGATGGGAAATGGGGCACCCTGTTGTATGTTGGGGGGGGGCAGGAACGGGGCGGGGCGTATAAAAAGATGGTGCCCATACTAACCCAGCTGCCGAGCAAGCAGCTGAGCAGGGAAGGGAGGCTGGCTGCGGTACCCGGACAAACTCTTCTTGGAGGGTGAGGGTATGTGTGTGTGTGTGTGGGCATTTTCAGAATGAGGGGCTCCATCCAGGTGGCTCCTTTTTTCCGCATGCCAAAGTGGGGCTCAGGATCTTGAGACAGACCCGGCCGAAGCGCTGAAGGTGCAAGGGCCACAAATGGTTTGTGGGGGTGGGCCCCCACAAATGGTTTGTGGGCTCTGGTGAATGCTTAGAGCTTTGCCAAGCTGGGCCTGGAAAAAGCCCTTGATAGGCCCAAGCCAACCCCAAGCCCACACCAATTCAACCCAAGACCCAACGCCAAGCTTGTTGCAGCCCCAATCAACTCTGCCTGGCTTCACGCCTAGCTTGCTGCGAGCCTCCGAGCCCTTCTGGCTCCTCATCTCCCAGCCAACCAACCAACAGGCCGAGCGACCGACCAACCAACCACTTCCGAGCAAACGCCGCCGTAGGAGCACGATCTTGGCGGAACTTTTGGGTAGACCCCAATTTGCTCAAAAGGGTCAGGTTGTCTCATCATTCAGGACGGGTCGCTGGAGGCAGCGCTCTTCAAGCAGCCAAAGCAAGAGGCCTCACTGGAGGAGCTCCGCCCGAAAGCCCAGACAGGCGCCATTCGTGTCCTCGACATCCGGGAACTGAGGAAAGGCCAAAATTATCCTGCATTTGAATGGGCAGGGAAGCTCTCCAGGCTTTGGTGCCATGGTGAGGTTTCCTCTTTTTGAGGATTATGTTGATGCCATAACTAAATTTCCGGTTAGTCGATGTGCCAGTATGTTTGATGTAGACAGAATGGTCAAGGATCATGATTTTCCCCCAACGTCAATGTCTGCATCATATCGGCGAACTGGTTTGTGACAATAATGCATACCCACAGGACGCATTTTTCAGTGCCATCAGAGTTACTTTGCCTTAGGTCAGCAGGCGGCGGAGATGCTGCTGAAGAGTGCGTCGGACGGCACCTTGGAGAAGGCCCTGGTGGACGCGAAGGGCAAGGAGACGGGCTGAGTCCGCGTGTTCTGAATGGAGTTCAGGGATAAACTGGCATCGTTTCTTTTTTTCCCAACAGCTGAAAGCTTTGGGGTCTCAGCCCAGATAGGCTCTGGGGTGGTCCGGGGCGCCCCTGAGGAAAGGTTCCACCAGGGTTCCACGAGGGTTCCACGAGGTTCTGCGAGGGTGCGAGCACTAAAATGAGCACAGCATGCTGCTGGGGATATCACCTGAGCTTATTTTTTGTGTTTAGGGGCACCAGTCCGCGACCATATGCGTTTTTTGGGGGTGTGTGAATTTCGGTAGTGGACGTCATTTGGGTCCACCAACCCTCTTGTAAGGTGGTTCCCGGTGGAAATCTAAATTTCATTCCAAAGGGGAGTGCGTTTAAAATGAGGGATTCGTTTAGGACAAGGTGTATCCTCAAAACATGGGGGTACTTAATGGCCCGAGAAGGAAACCAAAAGGGGATGGATAACTATTTTCAGTTTTCCAAAGCCCCCCGGTACACAGTTTGGTAACCCCCTTTTTACCCCGCAAATGGCACTGGATGATCCATTCGTGGACAACAGTTGGGGAAGTGGGGAGGCGATGGCTTGCAATCTTGCCATGGAGGCATGCATGAACTGCACGATCCACCGGATGGAAAACACGATTGCATGCCATCTCCTCCCCACTTCCCCTTTTGGTCGGGGAGACCAGAAAGAACCGGCATGCCATTGCCACTTGGAGATTACTTTGCAGCGGGAAATGGTAAAAAGCCCTCCATAGAAACACCGGTTGTAAAATAAACACACACGCCCCAACCGACAAAGAACACACCTAGTAGGTTTTAAGGGGACCAACCGCGGTTACCCCAGTAGCCATCGTTACAACCTACCACTGTAAGTGTTCGGTCTGAAACGAGAGCTAGGTGCCCTTTGGTTGAGTTATTGGTTATCCCAGTTGACGTAAACCGATAGCCCGAAGCCAAACATCCAATTCACTACCCTCCCACCCCTTTCTGCACATCTGCTTTCACCCTGGTGTAATGCATTCTGACCCAGCGGGACAGACCATCTGCTGGCTTTGTAGTGGAAGCCAATTGGGTATGGTTGAAAATAGCTTTAAAGGCAACCGAAGAAGGGACCCACACACACCCATCTTGGAACCCCGACCGATTGCGCAAGGACATGGAGGAACTGCGCGCCGAGGCGGCGGCGGTGCTGCTGGGCGCCGCAGCGGACGGGACGCTGGAGGACGGGACGCCCGAGGGGAACACGCGCTCACCAAGAAGTGGGGATCCGTTGTTTCGTTGTTTCAGGTGTTGGAATGATTGTAGACTCATGAGTTTGCACATTCAGGCAGGGGTAAAGCGAGTTCAAAAATACAGCAGCCCTTTTTATGGGGGATGGTTCTGAATCAGAGTTTGGTATTAGGTTGCAACCTTTCAGCATTGGTGACAAGTGTGCCACGTTGCTCAATCCAATGCATGGCTCTTTGGTGATGGGCGGCGTCCATCTGTTTAAAGGAAGGCCTGGCGGCTTCATCTTCGGAACTCGCAGGCGGTGCTGCGGCGGCGGGCCGGCGGCGGCGGCGGCGAGGCAGAATGTTGGATCATTGAATGGCCGCTGGGTGTGAATCCTGCTTTGGTCTTTAATTGGTTGTGGACATCACCTTTGTGGAGGATTCCTCTTTCCAACATCGACAGGCAGGTCTTTCTTTCGTTTTTGCTTGGGGAAGTCTTCGGCACCCACGGCCATGATCATGATTGGAACCTGAACCTCCCCTTTTGGGATCCACACTAACCTGCCTTCAAGGGTTTCATAGCTATACTCCCTTGCCATCCTGATTAACATGGACACGTGCACGTTTTGGGAAGGCTTCCATGGAATGGCCGAGAAGGAACCCCCCTTAAAGTTGCAGAGTCCTGGATTGTCCAAAGTCAGTTTTAGATGTTAGATGGCGGTTTCGTCCCACTAAGGGTTGTGGATTGGGGACCGGGATCTCCAACTTGAATTGGTTGTGGGCGTGAACCAGGCTTTGCAGCTTGATGGGTGTCGGTTTTTGCTGGTCCTGTATCGATTAGACAAACTCCTACGGTACGCCCCATCAATCCAATTCCAATATACACTTACCGACCGGCGCGGTATTGCCAGCTGCTTATGTGCAACTTCCGCTCACTTTCCCAAGTCCGACATTTTCACTCGAGCCCAAAAGCAGGCAAGGGTGCCGCTCCACTTACGTACTGGCTTGGGGTCGCAGACAAACCAGTGTCCTCGAACGCGCTTCGAGAAATCGACGCCAGGAGTCGAGTGAGCGCTTGCGCCAGCAGGCGGCAGCCACGCTTCTGCAGGCGGCGGCGGATGGCACGCTGGAGGCAGTGCTCAGCAAGAAGCCTGGGCAGGCGGGGTCCATGTGACAAATCCCCACCAGGCACCAGCTAGGGGGCTTTGTCCATCCACAGTATGCCTGGGTCCTACCGTTGGGGGGGGGGGAATAACACGTATGTCTATGTGCATGTGCAAAATTTCAAAGTTGCATATACATTTATATATATAAATATATACATATATATATATATATATGTATATATATATATACATATTTTTAAATAAAAACACATATATATATATATTACACATGCACCCATATTGAAACATATCTATTAATCCATCCTTCCATCCTTCCATCCATCCATCCATTCATGCAGTCATGCATCCGATTCATGCATCCATCCATCCATCCATCAATCCATCCATCCATCCATGCATCCATCCATGACATCCATGCATCCATGCATCCATGCATCCATGCATCCATGCATCCATGCATCCATGCATCCATGCATCCATGCATCCATGCATGCTTGCTCGTCTGCTTTGCCCACGGACTCTAGCTCATCTCAAGGATTCTTGCTTTACGGGGGTCGGCGGCATCAGGCGTCAGCCTGCTAAATCCGGCCACCGGATCGGGCCGCAGGCCAAAGCCCGTTAGGGCTTACCTTCAGGTATAAGGCCGCGCGCCCCATGCCGCCGACCATGAGCGGACCATGCGGGTACGTTTTGTGCTGGGCCCGCCCTTATAAGGGGCGAAGGATTCGCGGATTGGTTTAGGCGATTTTTGCAGCATCTCCCCGTAGCGCCAAAAAACGAGTATTTTTGGGGGGTGCCTAAAACTGGACAACACCCCCAGCATTGATGTTGTGCATGCTGGCGATGCGAAACAATGGGCTAAAGGGGAAATGCAAGGAAACAGGAGTGATTGGAAGTGAACGAAATGAAAGTCAAAGGAATTGCACGAAAATGAAGAGGGCACCGGAGAGAAACCGAGATGCAGGAAAATGCAAGGGCAGAACGTGAAGGGAACCGGACAGCGGGAACGAAAAGGGAAAGGAATGCGAATAACGGAGTCTTCAAGGGAGCTGAAACGGCAGTGAAGTGGAAGGAAGTGAAGGGACATGCTAGGAAACTGTCAGGGAAGACATGCAAAGAAAGTGAAGTTCAAATTATCCCGAGAAGTAACAGGACTTAGAGGGAAAGGAAATGAAAGAACGGGCCCGGTGGCCGGCTGTGTCGCGTCAGCGTGTAAATCCGGCCACCGGACGTGATCGGGCCGCAGGCCAAGCCCGCAGGGCTTACCTTCAGGTATAAGGCCGTGCGCCCCATGCCGCCGACCATGCGCAGAACATGCTCCGACCATGCGCATACATTTTGTGCTGGGCCCTCCCTTATAAGGGGCGAAGGATTTGCGGATTCGTTTAAGCGATTTTTGTAGCATCTCCTCGCAGCGCCCAAGAACAAGTCCAAAAACGAGTCTTGTAGGGGGTGCCTACTACTGGACAACGCCCCCAGCATTAGCATTGCCAGCATCATCCCGGATGATGCTGATGATGTTATGCATGCTGGCGATGCGAAACAAGGGCTGACAATTGCAGAGCGCGAAGGGGAAGTGGAGGGAAGCAGGCGTAATCGAAGGAATTGCACGAATTTGAGGGGGGCACTGGAGAGAAGCCAAAGTGCAGGCAAATGCACGGTCAGAACGCGAAGGGAACCGAAGAAGGAAACGAAAAGAAATTGTAGAAATTATAGAAGACGGAGAGAAACTGCGAAATGAAGGGATGTGCAGGAAACTGACGTGGAATGGGAGGCGGACTGAAGTCACGGAAACTGAAAAGAACAGAGGGGAGGGCTGCGACTGGCACGGCGAAACTGTCGAAGATGCAGGAAAGACGGTGAGGTTCAGATCTCGGGAACTGATCGGAATTAACGGAAAGGGAAGAGAACGGACAGGTCAAGGTGCCCGGTGGCCGGCTGTGTCGCGTCAGCGTGTAATTCCGGCTACGCCTCCTGGGGTAGCATGTCGCCGCTAGGTAATTAGCCTGCTAGCTTTAGCTATAGGGGCGCCACCCTGGTGCCGCCGACCCTCGCCACTTGGTCGTGATGCGCTGCCTAAATCCGGCACCTCTGCATCACCAGCTCGGGCTTGCGGTTTTGCTTGCCTGTGGGAAACCCTCGCAAAACATCGCGTATATGCAGAGTTTAGGCCATGTGGCTGACATCGTCAGGGTCTGGGGTTGGGCCTGGGTGATGCTTCAGCGGGGCTTGGTCTGCATCATCAAGACTTCCTTCCAAAAAGCCTCTCAACCCATGAAGCACAGAAGGTATCGGAGGGATACAAGCGAGGCTCATTTTTGCGCATTTTGGCGCCAAGCGCTGCCGAACACGCGGGGCCCTCGCTCTACAAAACGCTGTACATACCGCCAAAAACTGCTGCGCTGAGCGTTGGTGTTCTGTCCGTTTTGCTTTTGCTGTGGCTGGCTCGCGTGCTGCGCGGTCCTTGCTTTTTTCGCGTTGGTTTTCGGGTCTTCTAGCGCGCGCGCGACCCCAGCCACAAAACGCTGCTATTTACAGTGTTTTGTTGCATTTGCGTTTCCGGGTGGCTTGCGGGCTGTTCTTTTTGCGCTGCTGTTTCTGCGGCCTCTGGCGAGCGCGCGCGCGCGACCCCATGTCAGCCTTCTGGGTTGGGGCCCGGCTAGGGCCCAGAAAGCTGGCATCCCCGGCATCATCTGGGGTTGGGGTGGGCAACATGCATAACCTAACCAGCCATATCATAGCACAGGATACGTTGCTCATACAAAAACATGACATGACATGGTATAACTTCAAAGAGGCGTAGCCGGCTAGAGGCCGCAGGCCTAGAAAATACATCCATCCATTTGTTACAGCTTGAGCCTCGACAAATACTGATAGGAGATACGAAGAGAAACAATGAAACATAAACTGGGCTGGCTGGCTGGCTGGCTGAACAAATGAATGAAGGAAGGAAGGAAGGAAGGAAGGAAGGAAGGAATGAATCAATGAAATGACATGACATGACATGAAATAAAGTGAAATGAAATAAAACATAATGAAATGAAATGAAATGAAATGAAATGAAATGAAATGAAATGAAATGAAATGAAATGAAATGAAATGAAATGAAAACATGACAAGGAATGAAGTGGAATGGCATGAAATGAAATGTAATGAAATGTAAAAAATGTAATGAAATGGGGTGCACGAATGAACGAACGAATGAATGAACAAATGAAATGAATGAAATGAATGAAATGAATGAAAAGAATGAAATGAAATGACATGAAAATGATTTGGAACGAACCAACGAACGAACGAAAGAACGAACGAACGAACGAACGAATGAATGAATGAATGAATGAACGAATGAATGAATGAATGAATGAGTTCATGCATGGATGCCTGGATGCATGAATGCATGAATGCATGGATGCAGGGACGCATGGACGCATGGACGCGTGGATGCATGGAAACATGCGCATGGATGCATGGATGCATCGATGCACGGCATGGATGCATGGATGCATGGATGCATGGATGCATGGATGCATGGATGCCCACGGGTCAGAACTGCTTCGTGTGATCTTTGGCCAGAGTCTCGGCCAGCAACTTGAGCGAACGCAACCCCCGCCCCTATTTGCCCAGCGGTCCTTCGATAGCAATGTTCATTGTATAGTGTGTTTTTCCTCCCTCAGAGGCCAACCTGGAAGCTCTAACGGAACAAGGTAGTCACGAGCAGTGGGAGCTTCCACAACAGGCAAGCAGTGTGAATTTCCAGCTTGGGCGCAGCTGCACCCATCATCATCATCGGCAGCAGCACGATCATCAGTATCATCAGCATCATCATCATCATTTTTCATGAGCAGCCTGAGCATCAAGCATAATCGTTATCGTCTTCGGCAACATGGCGGTCAGAGGTTAAGGTCAGGGTTAGAGGTTAGAGGTAAGGGGTTGAAGGTTAGGGTTAGAGGTTAGGGTTAGAGGTTAGAGGTTGGCTAGGGTTAGAGGCCAGAGGTTAGCGGTGAGGGTCAGAGGTTAGGGTTCGAGGTTAGGGTAAGAGGTCAGGGTTAGAGGTTAGGGTGACAGATTAGGGTTAGAGGTTGGGGCTAGACGTGAGGATTAAAGGTTAGAGGTTAGGGTCAGGGGTGTAGGGTTAGACCAGAGGTCAGGGTTAGAGCATGATGACGACGCTGATGATGATGATGATGATGATGATGATGATGACTTGTCGATGATGATGACGATGATGATTATGCGGATGAATGATGCTGATGATGCTGATGAGGATGATAATGATGATGATGACGATGGATGATGATGATGATGATGATGATGATGATGATGATGATGATGATGATGATGATGATGATGATGATGATGATGATGATGATGATGATGATGATGGATGATGAGGATGATGCTGATGATGAGGATGCTGATGATATGGATGATGGCAGGTTCTGCATCCCGCGCAGACATAACATTGCCCCAGACACTTGCAGGACGATGCTGGCCAAGGCCTTTTTTTCCCCAATTTTTGAAGACCAAAAAGGCAGCTCCAGCATCCCCAGCAGGCAAAGCATCACCCCAGGCACCTGCAGCATGACGCCGGCGAAGCTGGGCATGCGAAAGCCGAAAGCTGCCTTTTTTCCCGACATTCGAAAACCAAAAAGGCAGCTCCTGCATCCCCAACATGCAAAGCGTCACCCCGGGCACTTGCAGGATGATGCTGGTGAAGCGGGGGATGCAAAAGCTGCCTTTATTTCTATTATTTTGGAAGGTTAAAAAGACAGCTCCCACATCCCCGCCATGCAAAGCATCACCCCGCGCACCTGCAGGAGGATGCTGGTGAAACTGGGGATGCAAAAGCTGCCTTTTTCGACACGCCTGGTGGGTTTGGCTTAGTACTGGTCTGCCCAACGGGTCGTGACACTGCTAGTGAGACGAAGGGTGCCGGGAGCTCGGACTTTTTTGGACCCTTATAGGAACCTATAGGAACCCTGTGGGAAATCCATAGGAAACCCATAGGAAACCCAGGGGAAGCCCTCTT